GACTTTCATCTTTTACTGGGTATTCCATCATATACTCCATCCGAATGACCAGACATTACGTCCCTACTGTGCTCTATTTTCAACCGTTTCAATGAAATCATGCACTGTGGAAGATCCTGCTTCCCATGGCAATTTTCTCCGCAACTTGCAATATGTTTTGGCTAACAGAAAGTTAGGTGATACGCTGTGCAATGGCATTGCTAGTTGCTGGAATGTACTGCAAAAGGAAAACCTGATTTCTACTGCGTACAATGCTACTCGCAACTAAAAAAGATGGGTGAAACTGCTATTACACTATCCAATTTGTTTCCAGCAACTTCTGTCGCAACGGAGATACAATAAAATTGAACAATGTAGTAGGATCTTAAATTTAGAGGGATAAGCATTCCACATTTCATTTTTTCCTTGAGTCTGTTCTAGTAGATAAACGATGTAAACTCATGAAACGAGAAAAAAAGTTACCCTAAGATTTTGTCACACGTTGCATGACTTTCGTTGGACAGCACGCTACACATTTTACACAAGCTATAGCTAAACCCAGAACGCTCCGCGGTAGTGTCGATAGAAACAAATAACATTACGCCTGCCTAAATGTTCAGTCTCCTTAGCAGCCTACCTTTTTTCGGTCTTCCTGTCCCTCCCAAAAGTACTAGGGACAGGAAGCCCGAAAAAAAGAAAGGCTGCGAAGGAGATTAGCCTTGTATCAGTGTTCAGAGATAAATAAATCAAAGAATTAAACATAAATAAAGTAAATAAAGAACTTCTCTGTTCCTGCCGTCGTAAGTTTTTGTTCTTACATGTTGACGTCAGTCAATATTACAGACTCACGAATGGAATAAAATGCATCGATTAATTGCTAACTAATCAAGTTTACAAATCAAAGTCATCACGCACTTATTATACAACGATATTTTGCGAATATTTCAAAATTGACCCTTCTTGGTGTCTTTATTTGTTGTATTTTCCCACTAATGGGAAGGATAGGAGCAGGAAGTACTCTTACGCTGACCGCAACACAAGGACAGTATAGTGGAATTATCGGATTAGTTTTCAGTACAGAAAGAGCAGTTCATCGCAAGCGATCGAGCGTATGTTTGATCAACGATGAATCATGTCTAGGTTGCGAAATAGTGAGGTGCCAACCACCTGTTTTATACAAGCTTTATGTAGAGATGAGTAAATATTACATAATCAATGTATTAATAATCATTGAAGCCAAGTATGTTTCTC